GATCTGGAAGCAAGGAAGTCGCAGACTGATGCAAAGATCCATGTCACAAGTTGCTGCTCCAGTAAGTCCGCGAGTCGGGATGCCGGCCGATGAAAGAGCATGGTGGCCAAACCAGCTGCATAATCTCCATGAACAGTGAGGCAGCAGGCCATCGTCCTCGTGCGCTTGCCATTAGATCCTTTATCGTCGGCGTCACGCAGGTTCACAAGCATTGGACAAGAGAGAAGGTAGTGGAGAGGACAGATGGAACAAGGCTTGGCGAGGGCAAGGGCAGATCAGACATCAGGAATGAGGGTCAAGGGGAGGGTGGACTGGGTTCAAGGGTGTGTGTAGAGCGGGGTCGCGAGGTTGTAGCAGGGTTTGTACAGGGGTTTAGGGATGGATTGCGAGAGACAGGGGACAATGTTCAGGTGGGGGGGGGGGCGGCTGTCGCGGTGGAGGAAGAAGTGGGAGTAGAAGGGCCGAGTCCCGTGGAGCGAGGGGCCTGTCGAGTAAAGTGGCTAGCGTTGAGGCAGTTGGTCTGTTGATGACCTAACTGGCGGCAGCGAAAACACCCGTTGTGTTCGTGGAGGTATATGCGTTTTGCGGGTGTTAGTTTGTGGAGGCGACGGGGTGGAGAGGAAGAAGGCAGTCGGGAGGCACGATCCTGGCGTTCCATCCGTATAAGGTGGGCGGTCTAGAGGTCCTCAATGGTGAATTGGGAGGGAGCGGGAGATGCAGTGTCGAAGTCGTCATCGAAGGTGGGTTGAGTGGTGTTGTTATGGAAAATGAGGGGGCGGGAGGGAGCGGGCGCAGACGGGTGATGGGGATGGAGGAGTCGATCGTGGTGAAGCATGCGAGAGAGGAGGTCAGCAAGGGGCATGTCGGGTTCGTGGGCGAGGGCGATTGCAAGATCTTTGTGGCATACTCGCTTGATGCGGGAGATGAACGCAAAGTCGGGAATGACGGTGGTGGGGAGGTGATGGCGGAGGGAGCAGATGTATTGGACGAAGCTGTCCGTGGGACCGGTCTGGCGGAGGTGACAGAATTGTTCGAGGTAGTCATCAATGGTTTTCTGGGGGCGGAAGGTGGCAGTGAGAAGTTTGGCCCATTGGAGGAAGGAGTGACGTGGTCCTCCGGAGGCGCGGTGGTTGCTGACTTCAGCCATCCACCATTTCGCGGCATTACCGAGGAGGCGGGAGGTGGCAATGGGGAGCCAGTGGGCAAGGGGCATGTGGTGGAGCTGAAAAGAGTTTTGAAGCTGGGTTAGGAAGAGGAAGACGTCCTCGTGGGGGAGGCCGGAGAAGGACATGATTTCGCCGGATCGGAAGGAATGGGAGATTTCCCCGTCGCGGGACACAATCTGGGCGAGGGTGTTGAAGCTGAGGTTCTCGGGGGTGGTGTCGTAGCAGGTGTAGTCGAGTTGGTTGTTGTCCTCAAGGAGGTAGTTGGGGGGGAGTTGTGGCATTGCGAGGTAGACCCCGGAGGTGACTTGGGAATAGGTGGGACGGATGGTGGGGATGGTGGAGGTGGTCATGATGGGTTGGGAGAGGGTTTGGGAGTGCGGGGGGGGAAGAGGGGTGACGTGGATGGGTGAGGAATGAGGCGGAGTGCTGGATGCGCCGGATGAGGGAGGAGGTTGTGGGAAGGGAACGGTGGTGGAGGTTGAAGGGTTGGTGGATGTGGTGGTAGAGGTGGTAGGAGTGGAGGAGGTCGGCGGGGGAGTGTTGCTGGAGGCGGCTGTGGAGGAGGGAGGTGGAGCCGTGGTGACGACCGTGATGGAGGGGATGGTCCCTTCGATCGTGGGGACGTGGTCGCATATGGATGACATGTTGGCCTTTATGTCGTCGAGAGAGGCAGTGACAGAGGTTCGGAGGGTCTTGAGTGCGTGGAGGATGGCGGAGAGGTCGGGGGTGGCGGTGTTTGCTGGATGTTGTTCGCCTGGGAGGTTTCGGGCGATGCTATCGACCGAGTCGGTGCGGATGTCCGACATGTTGATGGAGGATGCGGTCATGTCGGGGGAAGAGGGGGTTAAGGACGCGGCCGGAACGGATGTGGAGGATACCGCAGCAGCGGTGGCAGCGGCAGCAGTGGCGGCGGCGGCGGCGGCGCGTTGGGAGTTCTTGGTTTGGCGTGGTGGCATGTGGGGATGGGGGGGACAATTCCTATTTACAAGAATAAAGCGTAAATTAATTTGAATTTATTCGAAACATATTTGCAAGTGTATTTTTTAAGAAAATACGAAAGCAAAATTTTCAGGAATTTCCAAATGAAGAAAAATAATAATTCATTCCGAGAAAAATAAATTTCGATGAAATTTATTCGGATTTACGTTCGGGGTAAAATTTTATAATTTCGAAAAGGGGTGATTAATTCCGAGTAAAAGAGATTAATTCAGTCGTGAATTAATCGAGTTTAGTCGAAATTAATTAAGGAGTTCAGAGAGAAAAAAAAGGAAGTACTTCTGAATAGAAAAGAGAATTTCGAAAAAAAAGAATTACAAAAAAGAACTTTTGAATTTCAAGAAAAATGGCAAAAAGGAATTTTATGAATGGAAAAAAGAATTAATTAGAATTATTTCGAATTTCCAAAAAAAATATTGAAAAATAATTTAATTAATTCTAACCTAGGCTACCAGTCGGGCCGGCCGGATCCCGGGTTACTAGCCCGTGCAAGGGCAAGGGAAGGTCCCAGCAAAAAAAC